TTTACAAAGTTCTTCTCCCAGGCCAGGCGTGGTAGCTCACACCTGTCATCCCAGCACTTTGGAAGACCGAGGCGAGAGGATCACCTGAGGTCGGGTGTTTGAGAGCAGCCTGACCAACATGGAGAAACCCTGTCTCTACTAAAAATACAAAATTAGCTGGGCGTGGTGGCACATGCCTGTAATCCCAGTTACTCAGGAGGCTGAGGCAGGAGAATCACTTGAGCCCGGGAGGTAGAGGTTGCTGTGAACCGAGACTGCACCATTGCACTCCAGCTTGGGCAACAAAAGCAAAACTCCGTCTTAAAAAAAAAAATTCTTTTCCTGACCGCTTGCTTTATCATCAAGCCTGAAGTTACCTTTCCACTCATGTCTGTTCCTGTCTCCTGGCTTCCCTTTTCTTTCCTGCCGTTGTCGCCTGCAACAGTTTTCCTCTAAGATAGATCTCCTCTCCAGTAAGTGGACACACAGTCCTCGTGCTATTTGGCAGGCCTGATGAGTCAGTGTTGGTGTAGCTGTATATGGATGGTAAACAGAAATACCACGCTGAAGGCCCGTGAGGTGGCACTCAGAATGACCCACTGTCTCCCACTTTTTCCCCCTTTTTTAGAGGCAAGGTCTTGCTCTGTTACCCACGCTGAAGTACAGTGGCATGATCATAGCTCACTACAGCCTCAAATTCCTGGACTTAAGATACCCTCTTGCCATAGACTCCTGACTAACAGGGGCCACAATGCATGCTACCATGTAAAACTTTGGTAGAGATGGGTTCTCCCTCTGTTGGTCAGACTGGTCTTGAACTCTTGGGCTAGGGCAATCAGCCTGCTTTGGCCTCCCAAAGTACTAGGATTATAGGCACGAGCTACCATGCCCAGCCCCAGATAAATACTACTTTTTACAAATAGAGAATTATACTATTCAGTGTTTATTTTTACCATATTATTGTGTTCTATATCAGTAGCTGTTAAACTACTTCATAATTTTAAGTTACTGCATAGGATTCCATTATACTGTGATCCCATTTAACTAGTTTCTAATTTTTAGTCTTATCGGTGCTTTCCAGTTGCTGGCAGTTGCATAGAATGTTCTCTGTGCATTTTTATGCACTCATCTAATTATTTACTCAGGATAAATCCTGACAGTAAAATTGCTGGATCTAATGGAAGTCAGTTTTTAAAGACTCCAGAAAGATGGTACCATCACATCAGTGATGGCTAGAATAGTAATTATTTGAGCACTATAATGTAGTTCAACATCTGATAAAGCAAACTTCTCCCCACTATTCTTTGTCAAACACTTTAAAATTTATTATATATCCCTCCAGATATACTTTTAAATTGACTTTGCTGGCCGGGTGCAGTGGCTCATGCCTGTAATCCCAGCACTTTGGAAGGCTAAGGCAGGCAGATCACCTGAGGTCAGGAGTTTGAGTTCAGCCCGGCCAACATGGCGAAACACCGTCTCTACTAAAAATACAATAATTAGCCCAGCTACTCAGGAGGCTGAGGCACAAGAATCGCTTGAGCCTGGGAGAAGGAAGTTGCAGGGAGCCGAGATCACCCCACTTCACTTCAGCCTGGGCAACAGAGCTAGATCCTGTCTCAAAAATAAAATAATTATTTCACTGGGCCAGGCATGGTGGCTCATACCCTTAATCCCAGGACTTTGGGAGGCCAAGGTGGGCAGATCACAAGGTCGAGAGTTTGAGACCAGCCTGACCAACATGGTGAAACCCTGTCTCTACTAAAACTACAAAAATTAGCTGGGCACGGTGGCATGCATCTGTAATCCCAGCTACTCAGGAGGCTGAGACAGGAGAATCGCTTGAACCTGGGAGGCAGAGGTTGCAGTGAGCCAAGATTGGGCCACTGCCCTCCAGCCTGGATGACAGAGCAAGACTCTGTCTCAAAAAAAAAAAAAAAAAAATCCCTGTGCCAAGTACTAATATTTGGTATTTTGATTGCGGTTTTCTTAAATTTATAGATTAGAGATTAAATGATATCTTTATAATACAATCTTCTAAGTAAAGTTTATTTCAAAATACTTTATATTTTCATTGGTACTGTATTTCTCATTTATATTTTATTTTATTTTTTGAGACAGAGTTGCTCTGTCACCCAGGCTGGAGTGCAGTAGTGCGATCTTGGCTCACCGCAACCTCTGCCTCCTGGGTTCAGGCAATTCTCCTGCCTCAGCCTCCTGAGTAGCTGGGATTACAGGCATGCACCAACATGCCAAGCTAATTTTTTGTATTTTTAGTAGAGACGGGGTTTCACCATGTTGACCAGGATGGTCTCGATCTCTTGACCTCGTGATTCACCCGCCTCGTCCTCCCAAAGTGCTGGGATTACAGGCTTGAGCCACCGCACCCATCTGACTAAAATTTATCACTCACCCTCACACATGCCACAGGTTGCATTTTTAAATGTAGTACCAGGCTGAGTGTGGGGCTCACCCTGGTAATCCCAGCACTTTGGGAGCTGAGGTGGGTGGATCACCTGAAGTTGGGAGTTCAAAACCAGCCTGGCCAACATGATGAAACTCCATCTCCACTAAAAAATTAGCCAGGCGTGGTGGTGCACACCTGTAATCTCAGCTTCTTGGGAGGCTGAGACATGACAGTCACTTGAACCCAGGAGGTGGAAGTTGCAGTAAGCCAAGATGGCACCACTGCATTCCAGCCCGGGTGACACAGTGAGACTCTATCTCGAAACATACCTACATACATATGTACATACACACACATACATACATAAATGCAGCACCAGTTCCTAAACACAGTTCTAGGTGGAGTCTGACCATCATTCAAGGAGCCTGGGGCGGTGAGGGAAGGTAGAAAGACTACAGGCCTTTGGGCTGCAGCAGATGCACCCTTGAATGTTGGCTTTCCCAATGACCAGCTCAGAAACCTTGGACAGTTTCCCCCTTCCCCTGCAAATCCTTTCTGTAATGAGAAAGGAAAAAAAGGAAGGAAACTTTCTTAGTTTTCTTTCCTGCGAAGTATGGACATAATGTTTTCTTCAAAGAGCTGTGAGAAATAAAGCCTTATAACTTAGCACAGTGCTTCCCAAGCTTGACCATGCACACAAATCATCTGCGGATCATCCAAGATTGTGCACTGGTAACCAGCTCCCAAGTGATTGCCAGGCTGTGGTTCGTGGACCATGTTTGAATGACAAGGATGTAAGGCACCTGGCACTTGTCAGAGTTCAGTAAATGTAATTCTGTTCTCCTCTGTCCCCTTAGTGAATCCTCCATACCCCGGTTAGCTTTTGTCATTCCATCCCTGTGTACCAAAGTGATGATGTATATGTCCAATTAACACGAGCCTTGGAAGGTTTCCTTTCACATCTTTAATCTGAGAGGTAACAACCCTCTGGCAGAGAAGGGTGTATTCTTAAAAAGGGAGAAATGTGCTTCAAGTCCTAAATCAAACAGTATACTGCCATGTTGTAGGATCATAGAACTGGTGTGACTGTTTGATCCTGGTAGTTCCGAAAGAGACCAGCATGGTCTCCTGTGAATGTTAGGTGACAACTGGCTCTGGGCAGGTTCCATCAAGTGGAAATCATGGTCTCATTAAGTGGGCAGCAGCTGGGCAGGATACATTTATGGAGTCATTAAAGCCTTGTCACCAAAGGACCATAGGAGGCTCCTGCAGCTGATCCCTCCAGAAACAGTGACACATGCTGTTGCCATGACATGGAAAATCCAGTTTGATTAGGCTGAGGTTTTGTGAGTCAGATTTGTAAATGCTAATACATGTTGACAGGATTTATGTACTGATTCTATTCTTGCTCTTCATCCTCCCACTTTTGAAAGTGAATGTTGCACTGTTTTCTCTAGGTCTTCATTCAAACATACTAACAACGAAAAACAGATACATTCAAATACAAATTCAGCCTCAGTTTGTGTTCTTTTATTTCTGTAAGACCTTTTCCTGCTCAATTTTTCTTTAAGGATTAAAGTGAGTAAATTGAGCACCCTCTTTAAATTGAATATTTAATTATTGATAGCAGTAGCTGGCATAACTTAATCATTTGTTGGATCTGAGCTTTGACTTACAGCTACCTGAAAGTCTGTAAAATATGTTATTAAAATTACATGCCTGGGCTGGGCATGGTGGCTCATGCCTGTAATCCCAGCACTTTGGGAGGCCTAGGCAGGCACATCATCTGAGGTCAGGAATTTGAGACTAGCTTGGCCAACATGGCGAAACCCCATCTCTACTAAAAATATAAAAATTAGCCAGGCGTGGTGGCTTGCGCCTGTAATCCCAGCTACTTGGGAGGCAGAGGTTGCGGTGAGCTGAGATCAAGCCACTCACTGCACGCCAGCCTGGGTGACGGAGCAAGACTCCATCTCAGAATAACAAAAAACAAAAAAAAAATTGTAGGCCAGGTGCAGTAGTGGCTCATTGCCTGTAATTCTGGCACTTTGGGAGGCTGAGGCGGGCGCATCACCTGAGGTCAGGAGTCCAAGACCAGCCTGGTCAACATGGTGAAACCCTGTCTCTCTATTAAAAATACAAAAAAAATTAGCTGGACGTGGGGTGTGCACCTGTAATCCCAGCTACTCGAGAAGCTGAGGCATGAGAATCACTTGAACCCGGGAGGCAGAGGTTGCAATGAGCTGAGATCTCGCCATTGCACTCCAGCCTGGGTGACAAAATGAGACTCCATCTCAAAAAAAAAATTACATGCCTGCGACATCTGAAGAGAAAAATGAGACTAGCCTTTGTTACTTAACTTTATTTGTTATAATACATTTTAGTTTTTAAGCTGATTTTGTTAGCAGGGCAATTAAGAATAGTTCAGTTATGTTTTATAACATATATTCTGTAGGAACTTTCCTGTATTTTTTAAACCAAATTTTTTAATCTATAGAACTTAAACAAGTATTATTAAAATTTTCTCATCATTCTCTGGGTTAATAGTAGAAAAATTCATAGCAGGGAGAACATATTTTAAATATTTATAACAGCTTATTAATATAAACATTAAAAATGTCTTGAAGGCTACCATGAAACATAACAACGGTCATTTCTGGGAAATGTGATTGAGAGTCAGGAGGGAGAGAGGCTTTTATTTTTTGCTTTGTACCTTTTTATAGGTTTTTTTTTTTAACACGTGTTTTGTGTGTGTGTGTGTGTATTTTTTTTTTTTTTTTTTTAAGACCGGGTCTTGCTTTGTTGCCCAGGCTGGAGTGCAGTGGCGCAATCTCGTCTCACTGTAGCCTCGACCTCCCGGGCTCAAGTGATCCTCCCACCTCGCCCTCCTGGGACTTCAGGCGTATGCCACCACACCGAGCTAATTTTTGTAGTTTTTGTAGAGATGGGGTTTCACATGTTGCCCAGGCCCATCTCGAACTCCTGGGCTCATATAAAATTTTTTTCAAAGTAAAATTTTAAAGGTATACCACCAGAAGAAATACCAGAAGAATAAAGAAAAATCCACTGAAACATTGTGCCGTAGGCGTTGTGGGCCCTGCAGTCATTGGCTTGGGGAGGAGAAAGGGCCCCTTACCAGAGTGAGCAAAAGCCTGCTTCTAGTCAGCTCCTCTGCAGTCCTAAATGGACAAGAAAGCATTTACTCAGCCTGTGTCATCCAGAGCTGGCATTTTGATGTCTGGTCCTTTACCAAAGGGCACAAGAGAGTATGTGAATAGTGGGAGGTTCTTTCCTTTCTGTTCTGGTCTTGACCGTCAGCTGTCCTTACTCTTCATCCTTTTTGTGCTAGTGTCTATTCTAACCCTTTGCATGCTGCCAAACTCATATGAACATTCCCATTGGTTCCTGTGAGGAGGTACTTTGAGTTTCATCAGCTCTCACCAGGTTGAAGCCCACCATCGCTAGTTAGCTTGTGTGTGTGTCTGTCTGTGTACATGCATGTGTTTGTGTGGTGAGGAGGGCATTCTGAACCTCCTGTGTTTGGGAACCAAGGTGGAGTGTTATTCAAGTATCTCTTGCCTGCAAGAGAACAGAAGAAGGCAGGAGAGAGAAGTAAGCAGGTTTGCACTGTGGTTTGTTGAGACCTGTATAATCAGGCAACGCAAGTACTGCTGACTGCTGAAACACCAGTGTGTTTTTGTTTCACAAAAACTGCTTGCTTTGTGGTGTGCCCTGCCTGCCACATGCTGCAGATCTCTGTTGCTTTTTTGCCTATGCTCGTTCATGCTGATCCAGACTGGGATACCCAGGACTCTTTGGGTCTGGAGGGGATGCTGGAGGAGCTAAGGTTCAGGCTGTCTGGAACCTCAGGTGCCATGTTCCTTATAACCACTGTGGTCTGAGCCCTCTGCTTGCCTGTTCCAAGCATGAAGGCAGGGAGCCCCTGTGCCTGCAGGATCCTGAGTCTGGAGTCCAGAAACACAAGGAGAGCCCTTCTCTGATCCCTTACTGGTGTAGCACCAAGCACTGGGACTGGATTTTTCTAGTGGTACCACATTTGAATTTGACAAGTTGCTATGTATCCCCCCAATTTTTTGTTTTTGTTTTTTTTTTGAGATGGACTCTTGCTCTGTTGCCCAGGCTGAGGTGCAGTGGTGCGATCTCGGCTCACTGCAACCTCTGCCTCCCGGGTTCAAGCAATTCTCCTGCCTCAGCTTCCTGAATAGCTGGGATTACAGGTGCACACCACCACGCCCGGCTAATTTTTGTATTTTTACTAGAGACAGGGTTTCACCACATTAGTCAGGCTGGTCTCGAACTCCCGACCTCATGATCTGCCTCGGCCTGTCAAAGTGCTGTGATTACAGGCGTGAACCACCGTGCCTGGCCATGTTTTTGATTTTTTTGTAGAGATGGGGGTGGTCTCACCATGTTGCCCAGGCTGGTCTCGAACAGCTGGCCTCAAGTGATCCTCCTGCCTTGACCCACCAAAGCATCAGGATTACGAGAGCGAGCCACCACACCCAGCCTGCTATGTATCTTTTTTTTTTTTTTTTTTTGAGACGGAGTTTTGCTCTTGTTACCCAGGCTGGAGTGCAATGGCGTGATCTCGACTCACTGCAACCTCCGCCTCCTGGGTTCAGGCAATTCTCCTGCCTCAGCCTCCTGAGTAGCTGGGATTACAGGCACACGCCACCATGCCCAGCTAATGTTTTGTATTTTTTTAGTAGAGACGGGGTTTCACCATGTTGACCCAGATGGTCTCCATCTCTTGACCTTGTGATCCACCCGCCTCGGCCTCCCAAAGTGCTGGGATTACAGGCTTGAGCCACCACGCCCGGCCACTATGTATCTTTTTAAAGTCAAGTTTTGGACTTCTGCTTCCGGGTCACAGCCATGGCGGTGGCAAATTCAAGCCCTGTTAACCCCGTGGTGTTCTTTGATGTCAGCATTGGCGGTCAGGAAGTTGGCCGCATGAAGATCGAGCTCTTTGCAGACGTTGTGCCTAAGACGGCCGAGAACTTTAGGCAGTTCTGCACCGGAGAATTCAGAAAAGATGGGGTTCCAATAGGATACAAAGGAAGCACCTTCCACAGGGTCATAAAGGATTTCATGATTCAGTGTGGAGATTTTGTAAATGGAGATGGTACTGGAGTCGCCAGTATTTACCGGGGGCCATTTGCAGATGAAAATTTTAAACTTAGACACTCAGCTTCAGGCCTGCTTTTTATGGCAAACAGTGGTCCCAGTACAAATGGCTGTCAGTTCTTTATCACCTGCTCTAAGTGCGACTGGTTGGATGGGAAGCATGTGGTGTTTGGAAAAATCATCGATGGACTTCTGGTGATGAGAAAGATTGAGAATGTTCCCACAGGCCCCAACAATAAGCCCAAGCTACCTGTGGTGATCTCACAGTGTGGGGAGATGTAGTCCAGACCAACACTGATTCAGGCCTTCCCTTGCTCTTGGTGGTGTTCTTGAGTAAGATAATCTGGACTGGCTCTCGTGTTTGCTTCCCTGCCTGCTGCTGCCCCATTTGATCAAGAGACCCTGGAAGTATCAGAGATTCAGAATCCAAGATTGTCTTCAAGTGTTCATCTGTAAATAAAGTTTTTTTTTATGTGTAAAAAAAAATAAAGTCAAGTTTTGCAGTGAACAATTTCAGACATTCACAAATGTGGAGACACTGGTGCAGTATCGGTGAGCAGATTGAACATCTTCAAGTTTTGCTGCACTTGCCCATCTCTCACTTTTTCTTCTTCCCTTTCTCTCCCTCCCTCCCTCCCTTCCTTTTTCATTGTTTTTGCTGAAGTATTGGAAAGTGATCTGGACCTCATGTCACTTTACCTTTCTGTATGGAGTAAGTCTGCTCTAAAAAGTCAGCTTGTGCTTCTTCAGGGACAGGTGCCTGCCTTTCAGGTGTTCATAGAAATGACAGTACAGGAGTCATCGAAGACATCATCATGTTCAGTCAGGGATCCACCCTGTTGGTCACCCTAAGCTTGATCCCTGTGGCTCATGGGTCTTTGCAGGTGTAGAACTCATGGCTCATGCACACTGGAAGTGCTGGCACTGAAGCAGGCCCCTCCCACTGACCTGGCCCTCTGCTAACAGACACTACCTGAGACTCAGCTTAGGGTCCTCACCATCTTCCCAGTAAGCAGAATGCATCTTCCAAGTGCTATGCTCGAGGCTGCAAATTGGTGAGAGGCTCTGTCAAAGGGCAGAGATGTAGATCCAGTCTGCCTGTGCTTATTACTCATTCATTCACTAGACATATATTGATTAGTATATATGTATACCTTGACTCTACTTTTTTTATTGATTAGGAAATTTAGGCCCAGAGAAGTGAATGTTAGAAATACAATCTTGGCCAGGCATGGTGGCTACCACCTGTATTCCCAGCACTTTGGGAAGCTGAGGAGGGAGGTGCTTGAGCCGAGGGGATCTAGACCAATGTCAACCACATAGCACGACCCCATCCCTATAATTAAAAAAAAGAAAGTAGCCTGGCATGGTGATGCATACCTGTAGTCCCACTACTTCGGAGGCCTAAGACTAGAGGATTGCTTGAACCCAGAAGGTTGAGAGGCTGCAGTGAGCCGTGATAACACCACTGAATTCCAGCCTGGGCAACAGAACAAGAAAAAAGAAAGAAATACAATGTGTTATACTTGGTTTTGCTCAAGTTTAACCATATCACGCCTACACCCGGTCGAGCCTTGCCTTCCCAATGACAGCAACATCCTGCAAGTGGCCCTTTGCTGTTGACCAGGTACCTTCCATCTGATCCTTAGATTCACGGTACTTGTTGAGCTCAAACATGAATCTTAGTTCCAGATGGCTGGATCTTGATTATACATTGTGTTTAAAGACTTTGGAGCTGGTAATCTTCCATGTTTATTCAGTTATTTAACATAAACTTCATGCCCCAGAGTCTAAAAACAATTTTAAGGGAGAAAAAAAAGCACTGTACAGGTCATCTAATAGAAAGCATGAATTCACAGAAGGAACTAGATCTCTCTCCATTCCCTACAATTCTACAGATAAATTTGGTGCCTGGCAAATAGTAAGTAGTGTTTGGGTGACTTTGATCTTAGGTCTTTGTGTGGTTACAGCAGATTTCATTCAAAAGTTCCTAAATAATTTTTTCTTTTTTTTTTTCTTGACACGGAGTCTCGCTCTGTCACCTAGACACAGGCACACATGATCTTGGCTCACTGCAACCTTGACGTCCCGCGTTCAACTGATTCTTGTGCCTCAGTCTCCCGGGATTACAGGTGTGTGCCACCATGCCTGGCTAATTTTTGTATTTTTTTAATGTTTGTATTTTGTAGTTTTGTATTTTTAGTAGGGTTTTACTATGTTGACCAGGCTGATCTTGAACTCCTGACCTCAGGTGATCTGCCCGCCTTGGCCTCCCAAAGTGCTGTAATTATGGGCGTGAGCCACCATGCCCAGGCTTTGTAATCTTTAAAACCATAATAGCAGGTCTCATTGTGAAGCGAACACCTCGCCTCCCACACCTGATTAGTTCGTTTTTGCATGAGTCTGTTACTGATGAGAGTCAGCTGTGGATGGTGCAGCCTACAGCGGTGGACCTGTGTTTGCTGATTTATATTTGTGACTTCTGTTAGGGTAAGAGCCAGCCAGTCTCAGTATCACAGAACCTTCCAGAGATGTTGCCTGGAACTCTGAGATTGATGCGCTGGCCTTTTTTCACCATGTGCTTTTTCTGACTTTCATCTGAATGTCCTTCCTGGGGTGGGATGCAGCAGGATTGGCATGGGCTGCAGTGGGAGTGGACAAGTATGATATAGAGAAGGGACCCCAGCTCTTAGGGTTGTTTCAGGGAAGAATCAGATAGTTGCTACTGGTGTATGGCCTACTTCTTCAGGGACAGGTGCCTTCATGAAGAAAAGACAAGTGTTTGTTGGTCTGTTTGGCTCCCTTTTTACATAAAACACAAGGGCAACATCCTCATGTAGAACTACTGTCCCTTCCCAGAAAAGCATGTCCTGCCTTGAGACAGTGCCACTGTGCACTGACCCACCAGAACTGCCCCATGTCTGCAGTGGTCCTATGTTTTTTTTTTAATCAAAAAAGAGCATTTTCTCCATATACTGAATGTTTCAACCAAGGACTCTTGCAAGTCACACCTCTGGACCCATGTCATCTCTGCTATCACTAAAAAAAAAAAAAACGAAGCAGAACTAAGAAATTAGGTGACCTGGCTAATACTACATGATTAAGGGATAGCTGTGCAAAGTCTGGAGAATCAGTCTGGGATTGTCTATAAAATCTCACTGTGTGTGTATTTGGTGTTTGCTGCATGTGATCAACCTTGGCCCTCCCGTAAGGAGCTTTACTAGTGGGGAAAGGAAAGAGGGAAACGAATCATTGTCATGAGGTCTGAATGATAAGACTCTGTCCAGGCCTAGAAGTGGCACCGAGGAGGGAAGGATTCACTGGGGTTTTAAAGACTGAAGAGAGGGTTCCCAGGCAGCAGGGGAGGAGGGATTCAAAATTCACTGCAGACCCCTTGCCCCTGTGATGGGTGGGCAGATCTTGTTCTCAGATTCTTATGAATGGCCCCTGCTCTGCTTTACCAAATGCTTTGACTTTAGCAGAATTATTGGTTAGTCTTGCCCATGGGGCAGTCTAGCCCACTGGTTTCAAATTCCAAGTGGTGACATCTCCATTTTAAAACTTACATTTTTAATAATAAAGGAAAAGACCTCAAAGATAGGCAAAGGATTTGAACAGAAATTCCTCCAGAGAGGCCAGTATGTACATGAAAATAGGTTCAACATTGGGGAAATGCAAATCAAAACCACAGTGAGATACTCCTTCACACACATTAGGGTGACTGCTATTAACAACAGCAACAAAGGAAAATAACAGGTGTTGGCCAAGAACGTGGAGAAATTGGAGCCCTGGTGCGCTGTTGGTGGGAGTGGAAATGGTGTCAGCGCTGTAGAAAGCAGTGTGGGAGCTCCTCAGAAAGCTACACATTTACCTTGTGATCCAGCAATTCCGCTTCTACGTATACACCCAAAGGGATTGAAACCAGGCACTCAAACAGGTACTTAACAAACCAGTGTTCGTAGGAGCAGACTTTTGAGTCACTATAACCCCAAAATGGAAACAACCTAAATGTCCATTGGCAACTGAATAAGAAAAATGCAGTGCCTACATACAGTGGAATATAAATCAGCCTTAAAAAGGAACGAAATTCTGACACATGCTACAACATGGATGAACCTAGAAGATGCCTTACTAAGTGAAATAAGCCAGACATGAAAGGATAAATACAGTCATTACTGCATAAGGATGTTTCAGTCAGTGATGGACTGAATATACTGCACTTGTTCCATAAGGTTATGATGAAGCTGAAAAATTCCCATTGCCTAGAGCTGTCATAGCCATCATAATGCATTACCTTTTCCATGTTTAGGTGCACAAATACTTATTGTGTTGTAATTTTCTGCAGTATTCAGTACAATAATTCTGTACAGGTTTGTAACCCAGGAGCAAAAGGCTATCCATGTAGCCTGCATGTGAGGTAGGCTACACAATCTAGGTTTATGTGAATTCACTCTGTAATGTCTGCATAATAACACAACTGCCTAACGATGCATTTCTCAGAGCATATCTCTGTTGCGAGGCTAAGCGTGACTGTTTGGTCTTATTCTACTTATACGAGGTATCTAAAATAGATTCATAGATGCACAAGGTAGAGTGCTGGATGTTGGGCTGAGAGAGGGAAGAAATGGAGAATTAGTGTTGAATGGGCACATTAGTTTTGGAAGAGGATAAGTTCTGGAAATGGATGGTGGCGATGGTTGCCCACGTTGTTAATGTGCATAGTACCCCTGAGCACCACTGTCTGTGCCACAGGGCTGAGCAGGGCAAAAGCTGGACCCACCGGCCTCACACCATCCTCTGGGCTCGAGCCCTATCTTCCTTCCACCTCTCAGCCTGCTCACCCAGGCCCAGCTATAGGCCTGCCTCCCTCTGGAATCTTTCCTCACTGTCCCAACTATGGCTCCCTCATCTTCCTCCAACCTTTATTAAATTGGAAGTCATTATTATCCAACTAGACAATAAGCTTTCTGAGGCCAGGGTCTGGCCTATTCTAATTTTTTTTAAGTCCTGACAGTTGCCCCCCAAAAAAGCCCATTATTGACTTAGTCATGGTACTCTTTCTCCCATGTCTTTCTCTGTCTGTTTCTTTAATTAACTTTTTATTTTGAGATAATTGCAGATTCATATACAGTTGTAAGAAATAATATGGAGGTCCCTTGTATACTTTTCCCAAGTTCTCACAATGGTAAGATTTTGGTGGTTTTTTAGAAATTATTTTTGACTGGGTGTGGTAGCTCATGCCTGTAATCCCAGCCCTTTGGAAGGCCAAGGAGGATGATCACCTGAGGTTGGGAATTGGAGACCAGCATGGCCAACATGGCAAAACCCCATCTCTACTAAAAATACAAGAAGTTAGCTGGGCGTGGTGACAGGCACCTGTAATCCCAGCTACTTAGGAGGCTGAGGCAGGAGAATTGCTTGAACCTGGGAGGCAGAGGTTGCAGTGAGCTGAGATCACACCACTGCACTCCAGCCTGGGGAGTGAGACTCTTTCTAAAAAAAGAAAACAATAATCTCTATTTTGATAATTTTGGTACCAAACATTTTGTAAAACTATAATATAACCAACATATGGACATTGATGCAGTCTACTGATCTTTTTTAGACTTCTCAGTTCTAGCGCGCGTGTGTGTGTGTGTGTGTGTGTGTGTGTTTATTATATACAATTTTGTCAGCTGGGTAGGTTCATGTGTCAACCACAACAGTCCAGGTACTGAGTGGTTCTAGCACTATAAGTATCCCTAGTATTTTTATAACTATGCATCACCCCCCCACCGACACCTCCATCCCCTAATCCCTGGCAACCACTAATATGTCCTCCATTTCTAAAATCTATCATTTCAGAGAAAATGTTACATAACTGTAATCACAGGGTCAGGCACGGTGGCTCACGCCTGTAATTCCAGCACTTTGGGAGACGGAGGCGGGTGGATCATTTGAGGTCAGGAGTTTGAGACCAGCCTGGCTAACATGGTGAAACCTTGTCTCCACTAAAAATTTAAAAATTAGGTGGGCGTGGTGGTGCGTACCTGTAATCCCAGCTACTCAGGAGGCTGAGGCACGAGAATCCCTGAGTATGGCAGGCAGAGGTTGCAGTGAGCCGAGATTGAGCCACTGCACTCCATCTGGGTGACATAGCGAAACTATGTCACAGAAAATAAATACATAAATAAAAATAAATGTAACCGCAGACTCCTTTGGGATTGGCTTTTTGAAGCACATTACATAAAGGTGCTGTGAACATTTGTGCACTTGTTTTTGTATAAACAAGTTTTTATTTTTCTGGGAGAATACCCACCTGTGGAATTGCTGGGTCATACAATCATTGTATATTTAGTTTTAGAAGAAACTGCCAAACTCTAGTTTTTTTGAGTGGCTGTACCGCTCCTATCCCTCCAGAAATGTGTTTCAGTTTTTCCACATTTTCACCAGCATTTGATGTTGCCACTATTTTTTATTTTAGTCTTTTTTTTTTTTTTTTTTTTTCTTTGAAACACAGTTTCCCTCTGTCTCCCAGGCTGGAATGCAGTGACACAATCATAGCTCACTGCAACCTCCACATCCTGGGTTCAAGCGATTCTCCTGCCTCAGCCTCTTGAGTAGCTGGGACTACAAGCACATACCACCACATCCAGCTAATTTCTTTATATTATTAGTAGAGGCAGTGTTTCACCATGCTGGCCAGGCTGGTCTTGAACTTCTGATCTCAAGTGATCCACCGACCTCAGCCTCCCAAGGTGCGGGGATTACAGGCATGAACCACTGTGCCTGGCCTTATTTTAGTCATTCTGATAGTTTATGCAGTGATACCTCACTGTGGTTTGAAGGTGTGTTGCCTTGGTGACTAATGAGGTTGAACATATTTTCATGTGTTTATTTGCCATCTTCACATACTTTCTGGTGAGATGTCTATTCATTTCTTTTGCCCATTTTCTATTCTGATTTTTTTTTTTAACTCTCTTGTTTTCTATTCTCTCTTTTATTTCTTATTTTTTTTTTTAGGAAACACTTAATAGCATGTACTATGTATCAGCCATTTAGAATATAGAGATAAAAGGCAGAATTGGCCCTCAGGGAACTGGTTGTTTTGGGAAGAGACAAGGGAGCAGGTTTCTGTGTAGGTGGGCACCAACCTCCTAGCAGAAGAGTCAGTAAAATCTTGCTTACACTTGATATGTATTATATTGTCTTTACATTTAGGACATTAATATAGTAAGAAATAGATCGGGCATTCTAAAAGCCACCTCAGGGCATCCTTCTTTATAAGTAAAGAAGGATGTGTGTGAACTTAATTCAAGATTAGCAAACACTGAACACAAATGTCATGTTTCTTGGGGATTCTTAGAGATGACAGTATTCCAGAGCACAGTGATGTGTGATCCAATGGGAGCTGGGGTTCCATAGCAAGCAGATAGCTGCTGGTTACAGAAACAAACTTAGTCACATGGGAGTTTCAGGAGAGTGACACATTAATCCTCACTAGGAGATCGAAGAAGGGGGTTGGGGCTAGGATTTGAAAAGGGAGTAGGGCTTTAACAGGTAGATATAAAAGGAAATGGATTTGTTATAGACTCATAGGTCCCTGCATTTTACTGATTTCCAGTTCCCCATCTTGCTGTTACCCAGAGTTGCTTCTGGGGAAAGGTCAGCGATCTACTGTCAGACTCCACGTCTTGCTAATGGGTCTGGTGGAATAGTTGCTAGTGGAGGTTGCATTTAGTTTTAGGGTGAGATTCACAATCTATAAGAAGGAAGTCCATCTTACAGATAGATGGCCTGAGACCTAGAGAGGGTCAAATTCAGCCCAGCCCCATTGCCCCAGCCAGGCCAGTGGGTTTGTTTTGTCTAGAAAATTCTCAGGCCAATTCACTGGTGTGAATTTCACCCAGTGGCTCTGCTAAAAATAAAAAATTGCTTGATAAAAAGAAAGTATTGCAAAGTAAGTGGACTGGGGAGTACTTATTTGTTTAAAAACACAGCTGTTTATCTCATGAGTTTTTAAATGTCCTTTAAAGGATATAATTTTGGGGGCCTGGCACAGTGACCCACGCTTGTAATTCCAGCACTTTGGGAGGCCGAGGCGGGTGGATCACTTGAGGCCAGGAGTTTGAGACTAGCATGGTTATCATGGCGAAACCCCATCTCTACTAAAAATCACAAAAATTAGCTGAGTGTGGTGGCACAGGCCTGTAGTCCCAGTTACTTGAGAGGTCGAGGCACAGGAATCACTTGAACCCAGGAGGTTGAGGTTGCAGTGAGCCAAGTCCAAGACTGCACAATTGCACTCCAGCCTGGGCAACAGAGCAAGACTCTGTCTCAAAAAAAAAAAAAAAATAGAGTATGACTTTTACATATACTCAGATAAACCACATTTACCAATTACGTAACTTGCAAAGAGTGTCACAACAAGATAAACCAACCTCAAAGCATCTGTTCAGCAGAGATTAAAATCAGTAGAAAGCTGGAAGACTTCATGAGCTGGGGACACAGTCAGGTCTCTTCTCAATCAGAAAAAAAAAAAAATTATATACTATAGGATCAACATGAAGTCATGGCCCAAATATGAAGCAACTAAAATGTAGCATGATTGTAAGAAATTAATGAAGAAAGGATATTTCAAGCTGGGCGAGGTGGCTCACACCTGTAATCCCAGCACTTTGAGAGACTGAGGCAGGCAGATTACCTGAGGTCAGAAGTTTTAGACCAGCCTGGCCAACATGGGAAACTCCATCTCTACTGAAAACACAAAAATTAGCCAGGCATGGCTGCGGGTGCCTGTAATCCCAGCTACTTAAGAGGCTGAGGCAGGAGAATGACTTGAACCCAGGAGATGGAGGTTGCAGTGAGCCAAGATCGTGCCACTGCACTTCAGCCTGGGCCTCAGAGACTCTGTCTCAAAAAAATACGTGTAATACATAAATATATATATTTCATTTGCACCATTATCCTTAAATGATACAGGATCCCTAAGGAAAGAAATTGTGGTCCATGACAGGGAATGCTCTTTCCATAATCACAACATTGTAAATGCTGTTAACTGGCTTTTCAGCTTTTAGAATCCAGTTACAGATAATACAGGGAAAACAAATATGTTTACAGAACAAGAAAGGACATGTAATCAGTCTCAACAATGCACAACCAAACTGGACAGAAACCGAGAGTTGGAAACAGGGTCTGGGGAGCCTGGTAGAGGCTGTCATGTTCTTACGTGGTTAAGAAGCCCGGAGACTACACAACATTGATGAGTGAGTAAACTGAGGTTTTCAGTTTTTTACGTAAGTTACAAATTTGGGTAAGTAATAGAATAATATGACAGAAACTTGAAGGACTGGAAACCGGAGGGGAAGTAGTACCAATGAAACAATAGCTTTTCGGGCTAGCAGTCGAAGGAAATAGTCTAAGTATATTACAAGATCACCACGGGAACTCTAGAGAGATGTCATTGAAGGCGAGGCAGGACCGAGTTTTAATGTCATATAAATGATTGCTTTGTTTAAAAGGAATGAGAACAGAAAGTGTCATTGATCAGAAGCAAAATTTTTTCAAAGGAGCAACATGACAATGAGATATCCTGGTGGCTTCTCGCTATTTAGTTTTAGAAATCTTAGGCAAAGAAGCATTTCAGTGATGAGAAAATACTAAATGTAATTGCAGATATTTTATTACCTGAATGTTAAATGTAGCCTGTAACTAACTGTTCTAATTCTTCCTAAACTTGCCCTTATACAGAAGAGGAGGGGAGGATTGCTCAGTGCCAGTATAAACTTTTGATTGCCTTTCTCTTTAAGATCTTAGATTTTTTTGAGATTAAAAAAGTGAACTTTTGTGAGGTTCTTCTCAAAGATTTAAGATCCATGGAATAATCTAGAGCTTACTCTAATGCAATAAACTCTTTTCATATGCAAAAATTTCACTTTTTCCAAGGAAGAACATGCTATCACTGAAAAGCAACATTTATTGTATATTAGAGTGAGACATACCCATTTCCAAGGTCCGTGTAACCAGGCCCTAGGATCACA